CTTGATGGTTGTGTTTGGTGGTTTGGTTTGGTTGGACTAGAGTGACGTGGGTTAAGCTTTAGCGGATGGGGTCTCTTTTTCGCGTGTAAGAGACAGAGAGAGAGGCTCGTCGGATGAAATGATTAAGAGTCGTTGTATGTAATGGGAGAAGAATGTATGACAGCAATTGGAAGTCGCGGAAGTTGGGGATAAAGCTACCTTTTCTATGGGATCGTCAAGCTGACCGGCTGTTAGCTGTCAATGCGATTACGTTGTGTAGGAAGATGGTGATCCAATTGCGTACACTTGTTTGGGATGGCCTGATCAAAACTGGAGACTGGAGTTCGGGACGGGGATGGAGCTTCTCGGGTGAGCATGGACGTCGAAGCTCCGTTCTCCAACGAATGTCGTCGGGGGTTGGGGGTTGGCGGGACAAGGCTCAAAGCCCGGCTCGTGGCTTGCCGCTTGCTCCGCCTGTCCGCTGACGGCTCGGCTGTGGCAGTCGTTGACACTTCAACGGGCTCGACTGGCAGTTGGCGTCTTTACGGGAACTGTGTTGGATCACACAATGTTCAGCCTCAGGCAGCAAATTTGTTGCTATTCTTTGCTCAAGCTTGGCATGTTTGACCCCACTGCCCCGCCAAAGCTCACCCCTCTTCCCACTTTCAGCTGTCTTGCTGAAGGTAACGAATGACGCATCAGGGGGTCTGAAAGCAATCATGATCTGGAGTCAATCAATGGAGTGCCCGTCTGCTTTCAATGTTCATGACCAAGACAACAACAACAACAACAAACGGCAACCCTGTGTTTTTCTTCATCATGGAAACGGACTAAGGCAACAACCATCCTGACTGTCTCATTTCATTGATGTTGTGACTTTGCAAGCACGCAAGAGGCAGGGCGCCTTTGCAACCTGAACGCCACCACCTGCCGTGAACACACTCGGCAGTGAGATCTTGGTTGCGCGACCGGCGCAAGCGGGCGGCTCTGTGGGTTGCACAACCCAAACTCAGGGTCCTCATTGAACCCTCCAACCGTTCCAGCCCGAATTCTGTGTCCTTCTGAGTGCCTCCATGGGCGGCCTACCTTCCAGCCTTCTTGCATCATACTACCACGGCGTGGCTTTTGCCAAACTCCATCGAGCCGGAGATCATCGTGTTCCTGACGTTTGTGAAGGGCCTTGGGGCGTGAGCAGGGTCAGACAAGGGACCCCGGGTTGGACTCCATCCTCTCAAATCATAAATGCGGGCCCATCCCTGTCCATCGAGGTCTGGACAGCGGCTTCACGACGAGAGGGATGGAAGCTCAGCTGATGGTATGGGAACGGTTACATCTGGAGGGCGACAAAATGTAGGGCGAGACCGGATGTCCCAGATGCCTTCAGCGTGAGCGTGTGTGAACAGGGAGGTCTCCGGAAGTTGTAGGCGGCTTTGTGATGATACCAAGACAAAAGTCGTAGACCGTGAGACCGATCCATCATGCTGTGTGGCCAGGCGAGCCAGGGTCTTGTGGTTTACGCCCCCGGAATTTAAGGACATAGGGGATGGGGATGGACAGGTGGAATCCGAGCGGTTGGTTTTACTAGGGAGTTGTAGCCGTGGATCAGAGAAGCGCATAATCGAAACGTGGGCAACTTAATGCGACCATTGAATATGATGATGCCGGGCGCTTGCTGTTTCGAACAAGGGAGCAGTCAAGCTGGGCTTATCAGACGGGTAGGAATTCATGGAACAATCTAGGAAGCGGCAACCAAGTTCCAATCGCGTCAATCATAGTGGCATCAGTTGCATTCATATGAACCCAGGTTGACGGGATGAAAATAGGGCTGTTGAATACCACCAGGAAGGGGCTGACGGTGGTGTTTGTGACTGTCACGACAGTGAAAGAGTGAGAGCACCCAACATTCGGGTCATCACCCATCAGAGTTTTTCAAGAAGTAACGTCGTGTCTCTTTTTGGCCTGGTTGATTCGAAGCGGCCGTCGTTCGCTGGCATATCCGGCAGGGCTGCCCGGGTGCTGTTTGGGTTGGGGGTCAAACAGGGAGCGGGCTCGGACTCTGATGGGAGGAGGGGAGCTTCAGGTTCAAAGGCGGGCGTGACTGCAAGCAATGAACCGCTGTTGTGAGTGTAATAAAGATGGAGTTGGAATGGAAGCGACGAAAGCCAGACCTCAGGTCCGGGTCCGTCCGCGATAGTGACTTGAGACTGAAAGGGTGAGTGCCAGCCCAAGTGACGTGACGTACTTGGCAAAAGTGAAGCTGCAATCCAATCCCGTCTCCCAACCTCAAGGCAGCAAAGGCGGCGTCACGTGTTGGTGAGTGGTACTTCCCGTTCCTTCACTCCCTAGGCCGCCATCACGCCCACAGTGGGTGAAGCAGGAGTCCAGTGTGGTCCCGCGGGCCCATAGCATCGATCAGAACCCAAAACAGGCGGAGGCGTGGCCGTGCAAGCCTCGCCCCGGCGGTTCCTCTCACTTCCACCTCAGTGTCGCACTCACTCTCCCCTTCCCTGCCTTATTGCACCCCCTTCTCTCATTTCCAACTTTGCATCCCAAAACCACTCTGCCAGTCCATTTCCTGCTTCTTTTTCCCAACGACCGAGCGAAATCCACTTCTTTCACCACCAAAGCCTCTGCTAATTCCCCCATCGCGAACTTACAACCGCCTTTACCGTCTACTCTAATATCTAACAAGGTATGTAACGATGGCTTCTGTCGGCCAGACAGACAGACACCACACTGCTTCTCCGCTTCTCCCCTCTCCCTGCACCGTCCACCGTGGGCATGGGCATCAGCTGCACACACGCACTCCCGCTATCCGCTGCTCCTCTCTTCGTCTACCACACCACCCGCTGTCGTCATCGCGATGCGACAACGCCATAACTTTGTCATCCCCGGCGCTGCCATCGACGGCGGCCGCATTCATCGCACCCGAGCCTTGACCTGACGGGAGCCGATTCCTGTGTCCCTCCGGCTCAAGACGGCCTCGCTCAGGAGGTGCTGCCCAGCCTGCGCAATACCCCACCGTTGGCGGCAAGTCTACTTCGACACATTCGATCGACACGCCGGGGGATTCCAAAGTTAGAACACAAAGCGACTTTCACTTTGGCCTCAGTTTGTCTGTCGGCAACCAAAGGGCTTCTTTTGTCGCGGCGCGCATTGCCTGTTCTGCCTTACACCTCCTTTTCGCTGTCCCGCCTTGATATCTACCCCGCCATTTCTGTCACCGCGCCCTCACATTGGCCCGCCCCTTAATCAACTACAACACCACATCAAGCAATTTCACGAGCTAACACACGACATCACAGAACTTCACAACACCGCCAAAATGGGTCACGAGGATGCTGTTTACCTTGCCAAGCTCGCCGAGCAGGCTGAGCGCTACGAGGGTACGTTAAATCCATCAATGTCCGATGCCGACCGACGGCGACTGATGCGTTTCGCTATGTACAGAGATGGTCGAGAACATGAAGATCGTCGCCTCCGAGGACCGTGATCTCACCGTTGAGGAGCGCAACCTCCTTTCCGTCGCCTACAAGAACGTCATCGGTGCCCGCCGTGCCTCGTGGAGAATCGTCACCTCTATCGAGCAGAAGGAGGAGTCCAAGGGCAACTCTACCCAGGTTTCCCTCATCAAGGAGTACCGTCAGAAGATTGAGAGCGAGCTTGCCAAGATCTGCGAGGACATCCTCTCCGTTCTTGACCAGCACCTCATTCCTTCCGCCACCACTGGCGAGTCCAAGGTCTTCTACCACAAGATGTAAGCATACAGCGCCCTGGCTCGTTTGGTTTACCGCTTTCTAACCCTCACAATAGGAAGGGTGACTACCACCGTTACCTTGCCGAGTTCGCCGTTGGCGACAAGCGCAAGGACTCTGCCGACAAGTCGCTCGACGCCTACAAGAACGCTACCGACGTTGCCCAGACCGAGCTTCCTCCCACCCACCCCATCCGCCTCGGCCTTGCCCTTAACTTCTCCGTCTTCTACTACGAGATCCTCAATGCTCCCGACCAGGCTTGCCACCTCGCCAAGCAAGCTTTCGATGATGCCATTGCTGAGCTCGACACATTGAGCGAGGAGAGCTACAAGGACTCCACCCTCATCATGCAGCTCCTCCGTGACAACCTTGTGAGTCCACCCGAGGAAGCTGGATTGGGTTGAAAGACGCTAACAGTTTTATAGACTCTCTGGACCTCTTCTGAGGCCGAGGCGCCCGCTGCTGCGGGTGAGGCCGCTCCCGAAGAGCCCAAGGCTGATGCTCCTGCGGCGGAGGAGCCCAAGGCCGAGTAAAGAGGTGGCGGATGCGTTTCCTTTTTAGTCTCATGATGTGATAATTCCCTGGCAGAAATCTTGGCAAGTCCACGGTGGAAATGGTGTCTTTGGAGTGTCGGAATGGAGATCCCCCAAGTACTTTTTGCATGTTTTACGCAGATACACAACACAGCAATCCAAGAATAAGTGGACGATTCCCCCCATATGAAAGAGAGCTGGAAGGTGGCAGAGCAGAGCACCCTGGATGTTTTCCTTTTGTTTCTCGGTATCGTCTTGTCTCTTAGACTAGTACGCTGGGAAGTCGTGAACACCAAAATCTACCCCCTTTTCTCGAGCAAGATATCGAGCAGACCCTTTTACACTCACAGCGCCACTGGGCGTTCTAGTCAAGAACCAGGTTGATGGTCACAGTTATAGATGTGAATATCTTTGACGCTCCCAGGAAAAGTTATTTCATTGCCGACTGAAGGAAACCTTTTTTTCTACACACTTGTATCATCCTGACCAACTCTGATGTGTGATTTTCGTTTATGCTTGTACCTCAATCTAAGACAATGGGTGTGAAAGTCGTGGTACACGGGTAGTTGCTTAGAGTTGCTCTGCTTAACTCTCCCTGCCAACTCTAATCCATCCGTTTTTGCCAACCATATCTCAACACCACAACAGCCCCTTTGCTTCGTTTATTCCCCCATCCTGCCCGCTTTTTTCTCCTCCATCGCATTTCCGAATTTCTCTTAGACATGCGACACAACTACCTCTTCTCTTGGTTCACCCCATCATGATCATCATCATCATCCTCAGCAACAACATAACAAACCCTCAACCAAATGGTGCAATCAGCGCATTGAACCAACACCTCTCCCAAATCCGCATTCTCCTCAAGATCTTCTTCCGTGAGAGCAAATCCCCGCTCGTTTCCGCATCGGCAGGAGCGGTACCACGTATCTTTCCCATTATCTTCAACGGAGTCCAAGTCGTCTAGGTCTATGGTGTCGATTCCCGTTTGGAAATCTTCGTCCACTGCAGTACCACTTTTGCCGAGGCTCGGGTGATTGCGAGAAGCACGGAGCGAGGCGTCGTATTGGGTTCTGAGACTGGGGGAGGAGAGGGTGGTGTAGGCGTGGGAGATTTGGTCTATGGTGTAGAGAGGCTTGGGTCCGGTACCGGTACCAGAGTTGGGTTGTAACGAGGTCTTGTGGGCGTGTTGATGTTGGTGTTGAGTGGACTTGTCCGGGTGGTGGGTGAGAAGGGCGCGGCGGTAGGCTTGTTTGATGACGGCGGGGGTTAGGTCGGAGTTGGGGGAGAGGGAGAGAATTTCGTAGAGGGTTGGTTGGGACATTTTGGTCGGTCTGTTACAAGAAGTTGTGTTGGGTTGGTTATAGGTTATCGGTAGGAAAGACCACAGTGAGGTTGCACTGGTGAGGTTGTCCGAGTGGAGTTGGCTGGTTGTGGTGAGAGATGTGTAAGTGGTGAAAGGTTGGTTGGTATGAGTCCCAAGAGCCCCAAGAGTCCCCAAAAAAAAAAAACTTTGAATGCCGCAATCACGTGTCTCTTTGACGTGAGTTTTATAAGTGCTCGACTTAAAGCGAGAGAAAGGACCGAAAAAGTCCTTAAGGAAAAGGCGTTGTCGTTCGGTTCGGTGGTGGCTGGATCCTATGTCTGCCTGATATCGTGAAGTGAGTTGTTCAGAGAAACAAAATTCTGGGGAAATTTTACTGCACCGTTAAACGCAGTACCTCGTCCTTCCAACCACGGTGGAGAAACCCCGTCTTATAAGACGCCAAAAAAGACAACACCCGAGAAACGAACCACAAGACATCATCCTCTTTCCAATGGCTTGAAAGTTGTTGTACATTGTTGTTGTTGGTGATGATACAGTCTATGGACATGGCACTGAGTCTCGTTGCATGAATCTTCCCGACAAGCGACAACGACCGATCGCTTATTTGGGGAACTTGGTCCAGTTCCTCTTGCCAACCTGTATTGAGTCCAGATGTTAGAAATCGTCCCAACCGCGAGAGTTTCGGTGTAATTGGTATTACCTTCTTCCATTCCCGGATAAGGTCGGGCATAGCCAACATGGCCTCTCTCCTCTTCTCCATCCTGTATGCAAAGAAATTCCCAGTCAGCAAACCACAACTTCTTCCCAACAACCCAGCGGCGGACCAGCAGCACAACAACGTACTTGGCAACCAATGTCCTTTCGTGCTTGTGACCCTTGACCTTCTCTCCAACACCGGTACCCTTGACACGGAGACCGAGCTCGACCCTCTTCCGTAGCTTCTCCTCGTTGAGCTTGCGGGTGAAGGGCAGCAGCTCCTCGACGCCGTTTTCCTGGGCCAGCTTGACGAGCTCGGCCTGTCGCCTGAGCGAGTACTTGGGGTTGTGCCACTTTCCGGTGATTGGGTGCTTGGTGGGCATGAACGGGTTCGGCGTCTCCTCCTGGTACGGGGTCTTGTGCGTCTCGGGGTCGGCGCCGGCGGGCAGGATCGAGGCCGGGGGGTACCGGGCCAAGAAGGTGCGCAACCGCGGTGGGAGCGAAAGCGCCAACTGGACGTGCTGCTTCACCGAAGCCGCCATGGTGAAGATGTGTATCGATCGATCGACCGGCCTGCTGCTATACGCGGCGGTGGTATGTTCGGTCGAGGTCGAGAGAGAGGGTATGGGTTTGTGTCGTAGGTGACAGGGTCCGGATTGCTCGAACGACCGGAACGGGGAACTTTGCGATCAATCGGCCGAACCCCAAACTTGCGAAAAAGTTCCAGGGCGCGAAACAGCAGAATGACACGTTAAACCCTAACCCGACTCTTCAACCCCCCGCGTAAAGCGCGGCATGTGGAGACCCTTTAACAGGCACGACAGGGATCACCGACGGCGCGGCGCTACCCAACCGTGACATAACTTTTGGGCGGGTCGAGAACTGCTGCACCGCTGCACCCCAGAAGTTCGCCATAGCAAACCGAATACCAAACCCAGAATTGCTTAGAAATCAACAAGTAACTGGACAAGTTTATATCGCACATTCGATCCTCGCAACCTGGTCCACGAGCCGATCTTCATCCCACCAGACATCTCAGACGTTACCACGATGAGCACGACATCAAGACGGGAACCCCCAGACCTGGCAGCATTGCTGCGCCAGAAGAAGGAACAGGAAGCCACCGCGGCGAAACCAAGATTCATCCCCAAAAAAGAACGCGAGAGGCTAGAGGCCGAAAAGAAGGCGAAGGAGGAAGAAGAGCGCAAGCGCAAGGAAGAATCCAAGTCTCAACCAAATGGAACACACAACGGCAACCGCAACCGCATGGATGGTATCCAGAGCCATCACCATCACAACCCCCAACGACACATCCCAACCGGTCCCAAGGCAATGCGATATGACGAAGACTGGGACCCCAACGGCATGAGCAACGGCCGCGACTACAGAGACAACCGCGATAACAGGGACAACCGAGATAACAGGAACCAACGTGGCGCAAAACGCGGCGCACCCAACGATGACGAAGACAAGCGAGTCAAGATGGAGAAGAACGACGAGGCAGAGCTGCGCGCCCGGTACATGGGGCCAGTAGTCAACCAATCCACATTCTCAGCCAAGAAGAAGAGGAGGAGGACGGCAGCAAACAAATTCAACTTTGACTGGGATGCCGATGATGACACCAGCCGACCATTCGACCCCATCTACGCAGAGCGTCAAGAGCCTCTGGTCAGACTTGGGGGTTACGAGATGACGGAAGAGATGATTATGCGAAAGGCCGAAGCCATTCGTCGTGGCGATCCCGAGACGGGCGAGGAGCGTGCCAGGCAATACCTCGAGCAACACAGACGCATCAAGGAGACGGAACAGCGCAAGAACCTGGGCAAGCACTGGTCCGAGAAGAAACTGGAGGATATGAAGGAGCGCGATTGGCGTATCTTCAAGGAGAACTTTGGCATTGCTACCAAGGGCGGCGCAATTCCCAACCCCATGCGCAGTTGGGACGAGTCGACACTGCCTAGGCGTCTTCTCGATATTGTCAAGAATGTGGGTTACGACGAGCCGACGCCTATTCAGAGAGCTGCTATTCCCATCGCTCTTCAAGCACGCGACTTGATCGGTGTGGCTGTGACCGGTTCCGGTAAAACAGCAGCTTTCTTGCTGCCTTTGCTGGTTTACATTTCCGAGCTACCACCTCTTACCGAGTACAACAAGAACGACGGCCCATATGCCCTTATTCTGGCGCCGACAAGAGAACTGGTACAGCAGATCGAGAGCGAGGCAAAGAAGTTTGCCACACCGCTCGGGTTTACGGTTGTCAGTATTGTCGGTGGTCACTCGCTCGAAGAGCAAGCGTACGCTCTACGAAACGGCGCCGAAATCATTGTCGCCACACCTGGTCGTCTGGTGGACTGTCTCGAGAGACGCCTGCTCGTCTTCTCTCAATGCTGCTACACGATTATGGATGAAGCCGATCGCATGATCGACCAAGGTTTCGAAGAGCCGCTTACGAAGATCTTGGACGCCATGCCGGTAACCAACGAAAAGCCAGACACGGACGATGCGGAGAACCCGCAACTGATGAGCCGATACGTGGACGGCAAAGATCGCTACAGACAAACCATGATGTACACGGCCACCATGCCTCCAATCGTGGAACGCATCGCCAAGAAATACCTACGTCGTCCGGCCATCGTCACGATCGGAAACGCAGGCGAGGCCGTCGACACGGTCGAGCAGCGCGTCGAGTTCGTGGCCGGCGAAGATAAGCGCAAGAAGCGTCTGCAGGAGATCCTCAACTCGGGCCAGTTCAAGCCGCCCATCATTGTTTTCGTCAACATCAAGCGCAACTGCGACATGGTGGCGCGCGACATCAAGCACATGGGTTTCTCGGCGGTCACTTTGCACGGTTCCAAGACGCAGGAGCAGCGTGAGGCGGCGCTGGCGTCGCTGCGTAACGGGCAGACGGATATCCTGGTGGCCACCGACCTGGCGGGCCGTGGTATCGATGTCCCCGACGTCTCGCTGGTCGTCAACTTCAACATGGCTACCAACATCGAGTCCTACACGCATCGTATCGGTCGTACGGGTCGTGCGGGCAAGAGCGGTGTGGCTATCACGTTCTTGGGCCCCGAGGATAATGATGTGTTGTATGACTTGAGGCAGATCATCTCCAAGTCGTCCATCTCCAAGGTGCCGGATGAGCTCAGGAGACATGAGGCTGCGCAGAATAAGCCACAGAAGGGACAGAAGAAGTTGGAGGAGAGCAACGGGTATAGCGGAAAGGGCGGGTCATGGAACTAGTGAACTGTTACATGGATGTTATTGTAATGTTGTATGCATATCATCATCTTATTGAGAAAGACGGTAACGGCATGGGATAGTGGATGGGTAAACCATAAGAATGCATAGGAGTACCGGAAATGGTTTGAGGGATTTAATGATATATCCATCTTTTCCATGAAGCGATTCCGAGCCCGGCCGCGTACGTCCGAAACAATATGCATACGAAGAAACGGTGAGGACCAAGGAAGAGCCCCGAAGAGGAGCGGTTGAGGTTGCAGTGGAGATGTCGACCCAACGTTTCCGAGGCTTGCAAAGTTTATCAGATCATCAGATAATCTCGCCAAGCATCATCGGCGTGGGCCATGCCAGGGCAACCTGAATGCTCGCCCCGCCAGCGCCCCCCTTCAGTACCGAAACTGGCTGCGACTGGGTGCCGCTGGCCTTTGTTAGGCGGCGAGGGCGGGTCTTGGCCCTGCAGCACGACTGCTCCTCGGACTCGAAACCGCGCCAGATTTCATTGACACCAAAATTTTGCAAGAACAGAAATCCACAAAGTTCCACTCCTTCTCGACGTTCCGCCTGGCGTCGTCTCCTGCCGTCTCCGGTTCGGTCGGTCACTGTGGGACGCTCGGGGTCCTGTTCCTGTCGTTCGCTTGTGAGTGCTGCGGGCTGTCTGTGCCTGCTGTTGGTTCAAGTTGTTAACGGTGACACACGCACGGGGGTTCCCGATGATTGATCGAGTCCATCGATCCCGTCGTCACTTTCCATTGCAACAGAAAAGGTTTGTGACAACTTCTCTCTTCACCATCAGTTAAATCCCGGACAATGTTTCCTTTTGTTTCAAATACGGATACAAGGGCATTTGTGTGTAATACGGTACACTAATTTGGCTGCCTCGGCCTACCTACTTTGGTATAAGTGAGGGTTTTTGTACCCTCTTGATACACTTATTTTTTTTCTCGTTGTGGTGATAGTGGGAAAAAACTGTCAACCACAAGGCGCATACTCCTCCAAAATAATGAATGAACCATGATCTCCATCTTTCCGAAGAGAGAGACAGACGCCAGCACATGTCAATCGACTCACACAATCTTTTTACCAACTTGAGACAACTTACTCACATCAAAACGGGGCTCCGCTCTTGCTTTGGGTCTTCCGTTCTTCGGACTCTTTACCCGTGGACCCAAATAAGGTTGACTTTTACGTACATAGGTATTCGTTATCATCGGTGGTGATCCCTGAAATTGAATAGTCCCCCAAGTTCGAGAACGGTGACCCCGAGCGGCCTGACTGGGGATTCACAAGAAACGGAGGGACCCTCGTCCTACAACCCGCCCGGACTTCTTCTTCCCCTTCTTCTTCACTTCCACTTTTTTATTCTATAAACTTTTTTTTCTTTTCCCCCTTGCTTTATCTTTTTGAGCAAACATAGATTTTGATCTTTTCTTCTTCTTCTTTTCCCCCTCTTCCTGGTTCCCTGAATCAAACCACGGACGTCAAGCCATATTCTCACCCTTCATACGCTATAGATCACGAGTCAAGAAGAATAAGGAAGTGAGAAGGCATCCCGGCATCCCTGATCACATTTACAGCCCAACAAAAAGTCACACAGGCGCACATCGCGCATCACACACCGTCAACGACACTCCGTGCGATCTTACGAGAGTCAATAAGATCGCAGAATCGCAAAACTGCCTCCTTGGGCGCAAACTGCATAACATCTTCACACTACCGGCTAGCTTCCCACGTTGTTTTGCGACAAAGGGGATTGGCCACGGTCTCATCAACCGACTCACTCATCAACCTCACAACTTTTTTTTTGTCTCCCTAATCAGAGGCTTTACAGCCCACCCACACATCACCAAAATGGACTCCGTACCAGCTCAAACCCACCAGGGCTTCAAGGAAGCCGGTGCTGCTTCGGCCTCTCACCTCACATCAACCACATCTCTACCGACCAAGGTCGAGTCACGAACAGCAGTGATGGAGGCTCTGGAGGATATCGTTTACGGATCTGTACGTTTTCACTCACCTGCCTCCACAAACTTTTCTCCTAAGACTAACACCACATGCAGGCCGCCGGCATCGTAGGCAAATACATCGAATACCCCTTCGACACGGTCAAAGTCCGGCTGCAATCCCAGCCCGACCACCTTCCGTTGCGCTACACCGGTCCGCTCGATTGTTTCCGCCAATCCATCCGCGCCGACGGCTTCCTCGGTCTCTACCGGGGCATCACGGCGCCTCTCGTCGGTGCCGCCCTGGAAAACTCGTCCCTCTTCTTCTTCGAGCGCATCGGCCGCGGGCTGATCTACTCCTCCGGGCTTCGCGCCGCGCGACTCCGAGCTTTCCTTGTCCGCCCTCTGGTTCACAGGCGGTTTCGCCGGCGCTTTCACCTCTTTCATCCTTACGCCCGTGGAGTTGGTGAAGTGCAAGATCCAAGTCCCTGACGAACCGGGCGGAACCGGACGAAGGGCGCCGCTGAAGCCGATCCCCGTCATCAAGGAGATCTTCCGCCATGAAGGCCTGCGCGGGTTCTGGCACGGGCAGCTCGGCACCTTAATCCGCGAAGCAGGCGGTTGCGCGGCTTGGTTCGGGTCCAAGGAGACCACCAGCAAATGGTTCCGCGAGCGCAACGAGCGGACTCTGCTCAAGCGCGGGGGTACGCAGGATGAGGTGCTGGAAAGCAGGGAGAGGGCGCTGCCGCTTTGGCAGCAGGCGGTTGCCGGAGCATCGGCGGGTATGAGCTATAACTTTTTGTTCTTCCCTGCGGATACGGTCAAGAGTCGGATGCAGACTAGTCCGATTGGTAACGACAACGCAGGGAAAGGAGAGGGACAGGGAGGGGTGGCAGGGCCGACAAAGAAGAATACATTTGGACAGGAGGCCAGGGCGTTGTGGAAGCAGGCGGGCATTAAAGGGTTTTATAGAGGGTGCGGGATCACGGTGTTGAGAAGCGCGCCGAGCTCGGCATTCATCTTTATGGTGTATGATGGGTTGAAGAAGTATTTTCCTATGGCTTGAGGGTCATCTTAGAGGAGGAAAAGGAAGATAAACAAGAGGAAAGAAGAGATGAGACAAGAAGAGGGACGTCAATGTTCGCTTGGAGGATCTAGACACAGCTTGCAAGAAGATGGCGCAAGGGGAGAGAAGAAGAAGAAAACGGGGACAACGGTCGGCGCAAAGTTTATAGATAGGGTCGGTTGGTTGGAACTGGAGCGTTTGCATCTGTTTTACACATCGTTTCATTTCGGGAGGAGGATTGATACCAGACAGGAAGAGAAAAAGGACGGTTTAGAGGTAGAGAGAGAGAGAGATACTAAGGTATCGAAAGACGTGGGTTTTGGTTGACTAGACATAGTTTGTTTACTTGGACATAACAACAACTGGTTTAGAGCACTGCAGCTTCAAGAGTGACGGTTTTCGCGCAAATACTTTGCGATTGGCATCTAGCAACTCTATCAAACAGTTGCCCTTGGGTGTTGTCTACACGCTGACCAAAACACCCCAAACAGCAATTCATCTAACAAACTCGCTTGCTCCTAACACCATACCTCCCTCCATCTAATCCACCTTGGATTTACAAATCCTTCCCCTCAGCCTTCCTCCTCTCCTCCCCCCTCCTAATCCTCTCCTCGCTAAAATCCCACTGGTTCAAATACCCGCTGCCCGCACTCAAATACGTAGCAAAGCTCAACCAGGCCACATACGGCACCATCAGCCACCCCGCCGTCGCATCAATCTTTGTTCCCCAGACGTAGGCCAAGTACGCATTAATGCCCACGAGCGCGGCGCAGTCAAGCGTAGCTTCAATGGGACGGCGGATTCCAAAGAACAAAGGCATCCAGATGAGGTTCAGGCCGAGCTGGATGGTGTAGAGGGTCGAGGTGTGGTAGGTTGTTGAGACTAGGTCTGTTGGAGAGGAGGAGGTAAGAAGGGAAGAGGGGGAGGTGCCGATTTGGTAGGCGCGGTAGGAGGCGTAGCCCATCATTCCGTAGAGCAAGGTCCAGACGGGGGCGAAGACTGAGGAGGGGGGGTGGAGAGGGGGTTGTTGGAGGGAGCGGTATTGACGCTTTTGGTCGGAAGCTGTTGGATGGAAAAGGGTTAGGATGGGTTATGATGATGAAGGGGAAGAGGGAAGGGGGCAAACTGAAAGAGAGGGCGTACCACGATTCGTGCCGAAGCCTACGGCTGTTCCCAATGCTATGGGGAGGAGAATCGACGCTGGGGCCGAGTTGAAGATGGAGGAGGGGAGGGTGAGCTGGGGGATGTAGCTCGTCATATTGGCGGTTTGTATTGGTGTTGACACCAGCTGTGAATGGATATGTTTTGTGTTGTTCTGGATATGTGGTTTCGTCAAGTTGATCAGAGAAAAGGACAGCTGTTGATCTGGAACTAAACGTCAAGTGATTTTGTCTCGTCTTTGTATATGAATGAGAGAAAGAACGGAATCTTCGGTCGATGGTGGTGGTGTTCAGCTCATGTAGTGTATAAGTCAGACGACTGACTATGACGACATGGCCAGGTTTGGAAAGTTCAGGGTCTGCAACGCTAACACTGTGCTGCTTGAGATAACGAAAAAGGGGGCCGTTTACAGCTGAATGTCTCCGTAAAGTGGCATTGTTACTCTGTGTTGGTATTATTTTGCTATTTGCAAGTGAGATTGTACCTTGGCGGTAGAAACTTTCCAACATCATTCGTCCAAAGCTTCGATGTACTTGCCAAATGCCTGGTCCCTTGGATCGCGGGATCGTGAGAGATGTCACTGCCCCTCTTGTGTGGATATCCATCTTTTGTCGCTTAAAAAAGTCTCCGTGTTTTGGGGTTAAAACTTGCCGATGATGAATGGATCAAGGACACTTTTAAATATATAGAGCTTCCAGTACCTACCCCTCGTCGTAGCCCTTGTGGTTACAAGAACAATCGTTTGCTGGAGGTTTGGCGAAACATTGACACACAGTAGTTTAGAGATGGGACTTTGCCGTTTGCTGCTGGGCCATCAACGCTTAGGCCCCCGTCGGACAATGGATTGAATCGGGGATTGAATGGCTAAAAGTGGAGATTACACGTGACTTAGTTGGCCGGGAGTGGGAAAGCAGATCAAAGAACGTGTGGAAAGCACGAACCCGCGGCTGCTGAGGTAACAGCGGTGGATCCACTTGCAGCCATCAGCGAGCCAGGAGTGCCAGGCGTGCCAAGGTACTCGTCAGCCTGTACCTGTCCATTGCTTGCTTCCCTTCACTCTATACTAGGAATCTCCACGCGCGCCGCCACGAAATCCAACTTGTACCCATACAACCTCATTGCGCGACGGCGACAAGCAACCGCCAGCCTGGGGGCAACAGATCATCAACACTTTCATGTAATTGTTCGTTATTCCCTTTTTTCCTTAAAGCCTTCACTTGTTCAGATACCCTTCAAGCCATCAGTTATTTGTTGCCTTGGTTTTACTCGATTTCCCCTTCTTCTTGTACAGCGACGAGAGGTGCCGTTGCTCTCTGTGCTGTGTTCTCGTTCCTTTGACCGTCTCCTCCTCCACCGTCACCATCATCATCATCATCATCACCACCACTGCTACTACTATTACCACCACCACAACCAGCATATCAAGCAGCTACAACACACAAAACATCACGGCTGCCTCATAAATATTTAGCCACATCTTTGCCTTCTTCTACAATCACATACATCCCCTTCTCTACTTCTTTTGCTCCAAGCCCAGATCATCTTCACCCAAGAGTTACCCGTTCTAACCGCAATCATGTCGCCAAACAGAAGCCAATCTACACGCGCAAGCAGCTGTCCGGCTTCCGCTACCATCACTTGACAAGCAGCATTGTCACGCTTGCTGTCATTCGGAAAACATCCAACGTTCAGAATCACCACTTATACGACGCGGTTCCATAATCCGGTTCCGACCATTTCCCATCTATCTTCCATCGACACGGTTAGACGGAAACAGTCCATTCCAACCCATCTTCACATATCAGATTACAATCAACAATGGACTCGTCCTACCATCCCTACCGAGAGGGTTCTGCTCGGTCACCTGGTGATCGTGGCTGGGGCAGAGGTGACGACAGAATCAAAGACGAAAGGGACAACTTTTATCGTGGCAGATCTCCTGGTACGTCCCTAATCTCATTCTTTTCGTGTTGCACTACAGTAGACCGTCCCTCTACGTCGCTCAGCCCGATGATCATGCGTTCATTCCTTCACACCGTACTTACTCCTGCATCAGCCGACCGCAGCAGACGTCGTTCAAGATCCCCGGCCCCGCTTGACCGGTACGAGCCCAGAGCCCGCACACGAGACGATTACCCGACCCGCGATCTCCGCGATCCCCGTGACAACCGTGACACCCGCGACCCTCGCGATCGCGATGACCAGTCGAGACGCATCCGATCCCCTCCGGCCAACATTGACCGCTACGTTCCCGGCCAGGATGTGGCCCCGATCCAACCTCTAGCCAACCCCATTCCAGACCCGATCAAGCTCCCGTACCAAGTCGGCTTCTCATATTACGGCGAGTGGTGGAGGGCGAACGAGAAAATCAAGGAGGAAAAGGAGAGGTTGCGCACTGGCCGCCGCCATGAGCCCGAGCGTGTCCGCGGTCCGGAGGAGCGTGAGAAGGAAAAGGCCAAGATTCAGGCCGCCTACGATGCCTACAAGGAAGAACTCCAAGCAAAGATGGCACAAACTTTTGTCAGACAACACAAGGACGAGCAATGGTTCAGGGAACGCTACGTCCCAGAAATCAGAGACGGTTTCAGGAAGCAACTCAACGAGTTCCGCCGTGGCGCCTACACCCAGTGGGAGCAAGACCTTGAGACCGGCACCTTTGACGAGTTCTCTCTGGAGGGCATCCCCAAGAGTGAGAGCAACGGTGCTGGCGGTGTCGTGGAAAAGGAAGAAGGTGAGGCAACTGCTGCGAACGAGGTTCTCGGCGTTGGTGACTTGGTCCCAGCCAATAATGCCGACATCAGGGACGAGAATCTCTTCCAGCCCACTCTCCTCATCAAGACTATTGCCCCGTCTGTCAGCCGTCAGAACCTGGAGGCCTTTTGCAAGGAACATCTTGGTGAGGAAGAGGGCGGCTTTAAGTGGCTTTCCTTGAGTGATCCGAATCCTAGTAAGCGATACCACCGCATCGGTTGGATCATGTTACACCCTGCGCCAGAAGCTCTCCCATCGCTCAGGATGAAATGAAAGACGAAGATGACGAGGGCGAAGGCAAGCCTCCCGTCCCCAACACTGCCGAAAAGGCCCTGGAGGCCATCAATGGCAAGACCGTTAAAGACGAACAGCGCGGTGATTTCACATGCCACGTAGGCGTACACAATCCCCCCGTGAACCCCAGGAAGAAGGCTCTCTGGGACCTCTTCTCTGCACCTGAACGCATCGAGAAGGACCTCGAGCTTGTCAGACGTCTTGTCAACAAGTTCGAAGAGGACTTCGGCTCTGACTTCAACGCCACACTCAAGATCGATGAGCGCGTAGAGGACCTGAGGGCTGCCGGTCGCCTGCAGCCTGCGGTTTCTGCTTCTGGCATCAAGAAAGAGAAGATCAAGAAGAAGAAGTCTATCGGCATGGATGAAGCCATGGACGAAGAGGGCGAAGAACACGAAAGTGATGATGACAATGAAGATGAGGGGACGGTTGACGACGAAGTCGATGACGAAGATTTGCTCGTCAAGAAGAAGCAGTTGGATCTCATGATTGAGTATCTTCGCCGCGTCTTCAACTTTTGCTTCTTTTGCGTCTTTGAGAGTGACTCGATCCATGAGTTGACGAGGAAGTGCCCTGGTGGCCATCTGCGCAGACCCCGTAGCACGCTCTCATCGTCAGCCAAGGCTGTCGCTCGTGCCAGCGCGCTCGGTGAACCTTTCCCTTCCAAGAAGCGCAAGGACGCCGAAGAGGTTGAGGAAGGTGAGGCGCCTGAGGGCGGTGAGCGCAAGTTCCGCACGTCCTCCAAGACCGAGCAACAGCTGCAGCGTGCGTACAACTGGGTCAAGACCTTTGAAGACAAGATCATGCAGATCCTTGAGCCCGATACGGTTGACATCAGGAAGTTGGGCGGTAAGCCTGTTGAGGATGCCATTAACGATGAGCTCGCCAAGTACGTCAAGCAGGAAGATGAGAACAAGTGGAGGTGCAAGGTGCCCGACTGCACCAAGCTCTTCAAGGAGGACCATTTCTGGAAGAAGCACGTTGAGAAGCGCCACAACGACTGGCTGGATAAGCTCAAGGAAGAGGTAAGTTATTCCTTGGCTATTTCAAAGTGGGCTGCATACTGACTTTCAAAAGATCGCCTTGGTTAATGCCTATGTTATCGACCCTGCACATATTGCGCCGTCCAGGACCGACGCCAACTCCAATGGCCACTTCCCGCCTTCCAACGGCCAGCAACCGACTGGAACCCCGCGTGGCTTCAACCTACAGAATTATGCCATGAACAGCATGCTGAACTTCCCAGGCTTCCCCATCCCATCCATGTTCCCCAACATGATGAACGCTGGTGCCATGACCGGTGCGGCGTCCAACTGGCATGCTGCTGGTGGTGACGACCGCAGTGGTGCAGGTGGTCCTATCCGCCGTGGCGGTCCCATGGGCGGTGCCGGAGGCAGATTTCAGAGTCGTACTGGTCCCTACGACCGCAGGCCGAACCCTCGGTATGCAGGAGGCATGGAAGGTGGAATGGCCGGTCGCGGTCGTGGCGTGGGAGGTCCTGCCAACCGCTGGGGCGATGGCGCTGCTGGTAATGCCGCTATGGGCCCTCGTGAGGCGGTCCAAGGAAGGACCCTCAAGAGCTACGAGGATTTGGATGCCACGGCTGGAGGAAACGGTGGCGAGCTCAACTACTAAAGGGGTTGAGTTCTCCCTAATTCGGTTGTCTATCAGTTCGGTTCATATCCCTCGTGGAGTTCTATGAGCCGCAGGCATGACTCGTCTCATCGATAGCCTTGATAATTATTTTGCTACTTTCTTTTTTTGTTTGCTAGGGACAATGTCTTTTTTCTTCCGAATGGGATGAAGTGGAAAAGAATGGGTGTGTGGTTACGTTACGTCTAGTCAGGTTCGAGAGTCAGTCAGGTTCGTGGAGCGCGTTCGTACGTACATAGTCGATCGGTCAGTCGATCGTGAAAGGATGGAAAGGATGGATGGGTATATCTTACGTTGGTATGTTCCGAGGTTCGAGTCTTTACAGCGCCCATTCTACTACAACTCATGGGGTCATGCTAGTAACTTAGTTACAGTCTTCCAGACAGATTATTCAAGGCGCGGATTCTATAGTTCTTTTCCGTGCATCATTAGCGATTGTTGACTGTGACTAATTCCTTACAATGACTGCGGTATGTTGATACAGACAGACTCGGACAGAGTGTCGTTGATCCAATCCATATCCGTTTGTGTTCACTTCAGATGGGTTGTTCAAGTGCTTAATATCACGGTTGGAGTATGTGTTAGACACTGGATCTTATCATCCTCGCATCAACCTTCCTTGGATGCAGTTGCATTGTTATACTTGTGTGTGTCTGGTGATGAATTGAGTGTATCGTTGCAGTATTTCTGTCTAGAGATCTCATAGTGTCACTGTACCTTTTTTTTTACTGACAAGCCCATTGTATTTTCTTAGGAACATGAATTGGCTTGGCCTCAAAGTCAAACGCCAGTCAGAGCTCGGTCGATGTCCAAAGGAAGCTTGTTGTTGTACATCACCATTGTTGAAGACGGAATCTACACCATGCATATAATTTGATTCCTCTGCTCCGAGTGTCACTCTTGAAAATCCTGCTTCATGACATACAGCACTTTGTCTTGACGACTACAGCACCGTCACCGAGATGGTTAAAGAGACCCCTGATGATGCCTGCCAAATCTGTTCCCAACTGAAGCTACCATGCCCTCTCAGAAACAGAAACAGTCCGCCAAAAACCCAAAATGTGCACCTCACACGTAACAGCCTACTCAATCTGCCCCCATCAGACCTCCCGTCTCGAACGCTGTGCCCAGTATCAATACCTCCGTTGTAACCCGTTGTACCCAACCCACACAGTAATCACCACGCTACAGGGCCAAACTTGTAGGGATTTGAGGTGTCCGTGGGCTATGAGGGAGATGATCAGAAGTGGGAGGGTTAATGGTTGGGGTCTCCAAGGGGGAAGGAGAGGAGGAGGAGGGCAAGGAGGGCAAGTAGGGCTGTGGGGGAGGGTTCGGGGATGGAGTTAGGGGCTGGAACCAGGTAAGGAGGTAGGGTGAGTGAGTGAATGAGGTTAAGATTGGGGGAAGGAAGAGGACAACTCATGGGAAAGAAGAGGAAAGAAAGGTGGTAACGTGATGGGGGAAAGTGGATGGGGTTGGTGGGAGGGGAAAGCAAGATAAGGGGAGAAAGGAAGGAAGAAGGAGTGGGATAGATATTGGGAAGATGAAAGTGAATGGGAGCAGAGGAAGCTGAGGGAGAAAAGGGAAGGGGCGGATGGGAAAAGGGAGGAGGAGAGAAGGGGTAATTGTGAACTGAAGAGCCTGAAGAAAAGTCGAAGAGCGACAGACATGACGAAGGGAAAGGAAAGAGCGACTTGAGCAAGTAACGAGTTCAAGCACCTTTTGTTACAGATCTTATGATGGATCATTCCAGGTTGTGTTGAAACGGGGAGCGAGTGGGTGTTATTTGAAGGGATAGCTCATTCCCATGCCTTCTCTATCATCGATGTTTGTTTCTACCTGCTGTCCTTCCATCTTTATTTATTCATTTTCCCTCTTCCAACGCTCCTCCAACCATCACGGACAGGTGCCTTCCTGAATCAGTAGCATCATGTCCCTTCTCTTACCACCAAGCTTACCAAATCAACAAGAAAAGGGATCACGTCATGGCATTCCGCTGGGAAGGCAGTCAGTTTATTTGTTTTCCAGCTTTTATCCTCTCACATCCATACCGCTGCGCCGTCAACAGTCTACAAACACCAATAAATCTTAATACCACAGGCTGATACAGTGACGGCCCGGGCCATCAAGTGAGTGCTGTGGTGCTATATTCCGCCATAACTCGAGTTTGTTCCTGCCCTCCGTTCACAATTCATACCTACATGAGGAAACCTCATGTCCTCGAACAGTTCGATCGCTAACCACCACGCTCTGGTAGAAACGGTATTAAAGCTAGTTCCACTGGATTAATACCCGTTCGACGTAGAGGACGCATCCGACGGACTCCTCATATCCCAAAGCATACAACACAAGACATTACACGGAAACACAACTACAGCAGAAGCCAAATCAACAATGTGTTTTATCATCAATACCGAGTGCGCATGCGGATGCTATGCGTTCGTCTCCGAGCACAAGTGTACACCCCCGTGCCCTGCTGAGGATCCTAAAGTGATTAGAACCGTTGTACTTGCTCACGACTGTCGCCGACCCGGCCATTGCCCGCGTGTGGACGCCTACTGGGCTTGGATGTTCAACAACCAGCTTGCCTCAGCGGAGCATTGGCAAGAATACGTTAAGCTTGCCGAGTCAAAGAAGCTTAATGAAATGGACAGGCTTGAGGTGCTTTCTACGTGGCATTACGCTGATGCGGTACGATCTCCTCCCGAACAACAAGCCCCTTTCTTGCGTCATAGCGTTGACCAAGGCTACCCAAACAGTTTAAAGCCTACGAGGATGCCCAGGGCGATGTGTTGGCAAACCAGCTTTCGCCCGCAATACCATCATCTTCCTCGGCAGCCGCGAATATCCTACCTTTACCTCGTGCGTCTTCAAATGCCATATACTCGTATAGAGCACCTCTGGGCCCCCCCGTAGATTTCGAGTCCGCGGCATCTCGTCGACGGACCCAAAACATCGGCCCTCTGCCTCGCCAATCTGCAGGTCCACCCCCTCCTCCGGTGACCCAAACCAATGGACGTCCGGCTACAACACCCGCAAGGGGTAATCCTGATCAGGCTGATCGACGCTCTGGCCCGCGGCCCACACCCATCGCAAACCCACACGCTGGATCCAACTTTGGAAATGACGCTCTACAGATTCCCCACGCGGGCCCATCTTTTGCTTCCTCCTCTCGTAGGCAGCCTCCAATTTCCAACTTGACCGAGGCTCTTGGACCCCCCCCTCGACTGCGCCCTCGACTGCCTACGGGTTCCGGATTGGGACAAACTGATGAAAATAAGGGCAATAGAGAGAAGAGCAATAGAGAGAAGAGCAATGGAGAGAAGAGCAATGGAGAGAAGAGCAATGGAGAGAAGGGCAATGAAGGGAAGGGCAGTGGAGAGAAGAGCAATGAAGGGAAGGGCAAGAAAAAGGAGGGGACTAGGGGTAATGGGGATGAAGAGGAGGAAAATGGAGTGAATAGCGACGAAGAGAATGCTAATGATGAGAATGGTAACAAGGAAGCGGACAATAAGGAGGGGGACAATAAGGAGGCGGGCAATACGGAGGCGGGCAATAAGGAGGCGGGGAATAAGGCGGAGGGCAGTGGATATGGGAGCAATGATATGGACATTAAGGAGGAGGAGGATAGTGAAGAGGAGCCCTATGGAGAGATTGCCCAAAGCCGATAAACTTGGGATCCGTAACTATGGGTGACGATGGGGACTTGGATAATGTGGATAGAGATGTAGACAAGAAAGCGGATGGGAACCCGGCATGGGAATAAAGGTCGTGATGGACTGAACCAGGAAATAAGCGTTGAAAGACTGTGGCAATAGAAACAAGTGCGGTAGGAGCATTTGGAATATCGATAAAAAATACGACAAAAAGGGGGTGGACTAAAGGGTTAATTATCAACATCCAGTGTCTCCCGTCTCCTTATGCATGCATCAACGACACAAAATGCGCATGAATATACGCATATACATTTGCATTCGCAGCACACGTGCTCCGTTGTGAAGGAAATGCATTTAAGACATTGTTGTAATTACGCTACCTGTACTTGGCTTCACTATCGCACAAAAGCAGGTTGCACTTTCCACTTTTCCCTTTTCTCCCCAATTCCTTGGATTTTCTCCCGTTCGAGATTCACAGATTCCAAGCTAAACATCATAACTCTTCACCTCATGACTTGCTACTCACCTCTCGAGGGCTTCCCGTGAAATCTCAACACGATCGTCGGAAGCAGAGGCGGAGGCGGAGGATATCCTTGCTCACTACCACCAAACGCTGGGAAAGATGGATAAAACGGTTGACCCAAAAAGAGGGCTGGAGGAGCTGACATAGGACGCGTCATGGGTTGCGGGTTGTTGTATCCTTGACAGCAACAACTGCCACCGTTAGGATAAGGAAGCATCACAGGCCCTGAATCATAACCGCCATGTACCGGACAAGACGTTGTACCGGACAAGACGTTAACGGACCCCCAGCCGGGCGCATCGGAGCAAAGCCGGCATATCCTCCACCTCCATACCCAGCATTACTATCAGCACCATAGCTCATACCCCCCAAAGCTGGACCAGCATCACCACCGCCATAGCTACCACCAGCATGAGCACCATAATCCCATTTCCAATCAGCAATCTTCACCTGCCCCTTATCAAGCATCCTCCGTATCGCCGTCGAGCAACGAACATTACCGCAGTCCGTGGGGAGTTCGTAGTATCCCCAACCCCAGGAGTATTCGGGACATTGGTTCCCGCAAGACTCGGTGTGGGTGGATTGGGCGGGGATTTGTTCGTGGCCGCAGGTGTAGACGGGCCAGAGTTTGCGGCACATTTTGGTCTTGGTTGGTTAATTTAGAATGTGAGCATGATTTGCTTTGGTGTTTTGGGTTGGATGGAATGGGCTGGTACTGTCGGTGAGGGACTCAAACGGTTCTTTTATGTATAAGAGATCGCGATGGTTGAAGCTGCCAACCTTGACAATGGATGTATCATAATTCGGGATTAGGTACAGGAATTGATCGACCATGGACACTGAGTATTCATGATTGAGAAAGCCGACAACAAATATGCCCGTTTGCTTCCCTCATGGACCACGGTTGTCGACACCAATTCACATCAATGCGTCACGGAACTCTGAGTTTCTCTTGTACTGGGGACTTTTGGCAAAGCAGTGATATTGCTGGGTCGATATGCTAACTTGAGATGGAACAATCAAACATCATATTCATATATACATATATGCTACGAGACACTCGACAGCTTCGTCACATACGTCCCATAAAGAACTTCGATGATGCATGCAAACAACTTAAGGAAGACACGCTTTAGTTCGTGGCTATCCTTCGTTGTATCCATCGTGCTTGCCTCCTTCCTCCCACCTACCTTACAAAAGTGCAGTGACGCTCCAAAAAAAAAGAAGAAAAAAGAAAAAAAGGAGGAAGGACGACGAGCAACGAAATGTGCCACAAAATTTGAGCCACTGTAGTTGCATCCCATCCTCTCGCACCCGCCAGTAATAGAACCATCCAAGGTACCTTACCTAACAAGCACGCTGCGAAGGGAATGCGTGAAACTTGAATTGGGTGTTGATATCTGGCGCCAGTTTGGATGCGTGAGGACAATGATGACATCAAGCGGCGATTCTCGACGTCAAGAATTAGCAATACTGTTGATCAGAGTCATGCTGATTGCGTGCCCTAACTTTGATTGGGAAGCCGTCGAAGAAACTATAAATAATGAAATCAAGTCATCTTCGCCGGACAATGTTGAGGTTGCTGATGGTTGAGTGTCTTCGGGGCTTTCTTACCGTGACCGAGAGTTGACCTCGCCTGAGTGGGCTCACAAGGCTCATCGGATGATACCCACTTGTATGCGTGTATACACTCAAAAGGAATATGAATACTAAATGCAGTCTCATCAGGTTTTTTTTTTTTAGTTTTTTTTTCCCAACAACAAATGGCAATATTTCCTATGTCGTAGTGTCACAAGGTCGTGTCTGTATGTGAGGTTATCACGCAACCCTTTGCCCCGGCCACGCAATTTGATTCACTGATTCACCGACCACACTCCATAAGTTCACCGACTCACCGAAGATACCGAAACCCTTTCAAACCCATCTCGGCCCGATCCCGGATCACCGAGCTTTCATGCCTTCGCTTGCGGTTACCGCGCCAATGACACCCATACCATCTGTGGATAGGATAGGCTGGTAGGCTATGTAACCGTAACCTGACCTGAGTGACTCCATCGCGCGGTTCTATGAGGCTAGCGGAGGTTGCCAGATTCGCATTACATATGATTATATACTTCAGCCTCAGTTGCTTTTTCTTTCTTCTTGACATCCTTCTTCCTTTCTTCATTCTTTGATTCTTTCCGGAGGCATCCAAGCGAGGGTCGTGAGGAAGGGAATTTGCAGAGGAGGAGGAAGAGGAGGTAGAGGGTAGTATCTACAAATCGTCCTGTGTTGTTAGATTCCAGAGATGCGAGATACAATATCGAATGAGACCCTGCCAGCCTCCCAAGTCTCCCAGTCACGCCTCCGCAACTTTCGTATTCCAAGCTCCAACCAAAAAGCGCCAAAAGAAAAAAACCTGGGGTTCCCTGGTTTGATCCGCTAGGTAGACATTTTTGGTTTCTTGGCGAGCGAATGAATGGACAAGTGAGAGGGTGAGATAGGGTATGTAAGATGCAAGAAGGGTTCAACTCCGTCTTTCTTTTACATAAGTATCCGGACTGGCGATGCCTTCTTTTCGTTTTATCTCATTTTCCCAAGCTCACCAAAAAAGGAGGAAAAAAAAAAAAGAATTCCGATCATCCCCGGGATGACACCACGGACGACGTTCGTTCCCTTGGTCGGGAGCGCCTCTTTATTCCCGTCTCTGGTGTACACAGTAGGCCCATTGGATCTTGTGTTGACCCGTAGCCGCTGTTCGGGTTGTTGTGACAGGACGAAAAAAAGAAGAGAAAAAGAAAAAGAAAAAAAGATGAAACTTCCATCACAAGTTCTTGTGCGCCTTGGCGGTTGTGATTTCAGATACTTTATCAGACCACGTTTGATGAGCTTACAACTTTCCACTCTGAAAGGTCCCGATCTCTTTTGTTGCCAAGATCCCCATGGTTGAATCCTCCTTTTCTTATTAGTTTTGTTAGTTTTTGTTCTGGCGATCCAAGTGGTCTGAGATATCCCAACCCCAACAGTAGCTTTTGAGTTTTACGTTTAGCGCCGACCTACTTCCCCCTCGTCCCCTCCCTATACCCGCATGCCATGCCATGCCATGCAGACGTGTGTGTGCAGTGGAAGCAACCGCCGGCGCTGGCTCTGGATGGATGATCTGATACTCTATCAGATCAAGATCAGCATAAAAAAAAAAAAAAAAAAGGAGGGGTGGCCAGGCAGTGATCAAAACCGAGAAAAAAAGGAGAAACGTAAAAATTTCGAAATTATAGTCTGATTCGGAGAGGCTGAGAGGTTGACTGGCACACTGGTTGAGCCTCCCACGGCAGGCAACCCGCCTGCCCGTCCGCTCGGCATCCCCATTCCCGTTAGATAATTATTCTTGGCTTTTTTTGCTCCGGCTCCGAAGAAGGAGGGAAGGAGCAAACCCCCTGGCCTGGCCTGGGGTCTTTGTGATCCCTTGGATTCTCGGGAGCTTTCACTAGGAGCGAGGCTTGGTCGCTTGGTCGCTTCCGCTCGGAGCATTGGGCACTTGGGACACTTGGTCCCTTGGTCAACGATTTGCCGGGTGAATGGGCAGATGGAATGTTTACCAAGCAAGAGGTGCGAATGCTGTAGTGTTTGGTTTCTCCTGGAATTTGTGATAGGGGCTTACCACAGTGGTAGTGTCCGGGAGTCCGTTGTTTCACTCCCTAACTGGGACGGAACTACAATCTTCTGTGACTGATGTGAGTGGCTGGTGGTTGCACTTGCCAACGTTAGGACTGTGATAGTATAGGGTTATGTATGTGTGATTTCCGTATATTTTCACGACTAGCCTACAACCTTGAGCTAGGTACAATTCGCCACTTCAAGGGTTACGGATATGGCGCAGAGATTAAAGAAACGACTTGGTTCAGTTTGCATGGTTTGTAAACCATGTGGAGTGTGGAGGCAGTGTGGAAAGGATTTGTGCTGCTGGGACCAGAGGCCTAATGTAATAAGCGTTGCCCGTATCCGGCGCCGAACGAAACGAAACGAGAAAAAAAAAAAAAGTGAAATCAAGGGTTGGCGGTTGGTTCAATCCATCGCTCGATTTCGCGGAAACGGTGGTGCGAGCCTCGTGCTTGCTTGGACCAAATAGCACGACCGTAATAATCCTTGCCTACTACACTGCACAGGATGGATATTAGTTTTCAAGGTCTTTTTTTTTTGAGAACTTTCGGGAAGGAAAGAAATCAGAGACAAGGTGGTGAACATCTCCGGTTGCCCCGATCTGGGCAATTCTTGGCTTGGTGTTACCGACCCGAGGCTGGACCTGTCTCGAACTGCTTTTTTTGTTGTTTCTTTCCTCCTCTTTCGACCTCGTTCGGTTCTTTGCATTTTCTGACTGAGCCAAAAACGGGCAAGATCTGACATTCGGGAGGTAACCAACACAATCCAAACAGATGAATTGATGTGGATGACAATGTCTCTTGGTACAAGCCATGTCGGCTTGGGTTAATGTGAAGGGTGTGTCGCTCTTGTGCCTTAATAACAAGATAAAACAAACGAACGGCCTTATCGCAATTTGTCGATCACGCCAATTTGTGCTATGGCTTTGTTTTTTTTTCTCGTGCTCCCTTTCAATCTACGCGCCATTCGGCTGACAGGTGGACAAAAGGGGATAAAGAGCGAAAAAAAGGTCGAATCTGGATTCGGTGATCGACAATTGCCACCTGACCGCTTTTCAGGGTCCTGGGCCACCCACCGGGCCATGGGGAAGCGGCCTGTGGAGTTCTGAATGGTTGCCATGAGCTGCCTGCCATGCTGTGTTATGGACATTGTGGTGCTGTCTGCGAATGGGAGGCTGACATGGCAGAACGGACAGGAACTTCTAAGAGTTCTGGAAGGCCTCAAGTGCGAGTACATACTGTGTGTCCATGTTGTTGTTTTCCTGGGAAGTTGGGATGTCAGCCTCCATTCGGATATCAAGCCGTTTCAGTATTCAAAACGTAAACGGGAAGCGAGACAAACCCGCAAGATTATGTAGTCATGTGAGAGAAAACCAAGGCTTCCGATACTGTCACAAGTAGGGGGATCCCATCAGTGCGGGTATGTCAGCTCAGATCCACGTTTTCCTCTTTGTTGGTTTAGATATTGATTATATACTTCATTTTTGATGCGGCTCGACTTACACGAGGCTGGGACATTGGCTAACAAACCAGCAAACATACCATACAGTCGACCATCTTGAACGGCGTTCCCATGGTGATTTACTTGTTGCGTATACGATGTCGCTTTCTCTTGTTGTTATGAAGCCATGATATCTCTCGTTGGATCTATCCGCCAGCTGATGCTCAACATGAATCGTATGGTGTTAATAACATAACACTCTGCAGTTTCAAGCGAACGTTCGGACGGAACTCCGTTCGGCGACGTCGGCTATGATGGCAAGGCCAGCTGAAAAAAATGTCAGTGTGTCACGGTTGCCGCCGTTGTCAGTTGTCTGAATCGTATTGAAGCTTGTGTTTCTGCAACAGGCAAGCCCTGCCATGTCTTGCACTGGTCTCTGTTTCCACGTCGTCAATTCAGTCTTCACCGCCGCGAATTGCACCTGAAAGAACAAAATCGAATCTTGCTGGCCCAACAACAACGGCGGCTTTCGCAAGAAGAGACGAAAGCCAGAAGTGACGTAGGTGGCTGTCAATACACACGTTGAAACCCGCTTGCTGGCCATGACCATGTCGTTATTAGACGAGGGGAAGCTCCAGGAGTGTTGGGCATCGTCCGGGGCGCCCGTTGAGAGATTCGAGCCTGGGGAAGTCTGGAAGGAGGGGTAAACATTTGACAGGTGCAGGTGTCTTGCGGTGTAGTGAAGGCTAAATAATGGGGTCGCGTGCGCTGCGGATGAAACCGATTTTGACATGTTGTCGACCCGTGCCATGATCTTGCTTGCATTCTTTTGGTCCGTCTAGTGGCCGGTTATTGGACGGGAGACTATGCCATGGCAATCATTCGAATGTGCAATGGTGAAGCTTGCGAACGAAAAGAAAAAATGGCAAGTGGATGTGGAATGGAAGGTGTTGGCTCTTGCTCTCTCGGTCGGTGTGACGGGGCAATCATGTGTGAGAATTCTTGGAGAACACTGTGAGTCTAGCCTCTTCGGGGTTAGTATACAGTATTTCGTCGACTGTACTGCCAAAGTTGGGGAAGGAGGGACTCCAACTTTGAACGCTTCTCGGAATTCGACCTGTTCAGTTCTTTCCGTTTCCTTCTGCCTCCCGTCTTTTGGGTGCCCAGCGTCGCCAGTTTTCAGTGGCCTTCAGTTGGGTCGCAATACCAAAAAGTTGGGCGTTGCAAGGAAATGATGGGTTTGTGATTTTCATCGCCCACGATATGCCGGACGGGTTCGGTGAGGCACTGAGGCTCAAACTAAGGCGGGTCCCGCATCTAGAACTCCTTTGCCTGCCACAAAGCTGGAACTGTTGGAAGCACACGGTTCCATTCCGACATGCGAACTGCAAGCTGTGAACTGCTTTCTCTGGTTCCGCACACCTCACAGGCTCACCTTGTGATCCCGCGTGGGACGGTGAGTTATGTGCACTGCATAGTAGCCAGCGGTTACCTTGACAAGGGCCGACTGCGACCAGGGGAGGTTTCCAAAGGTAGTATCTTTGCTCTCGATTGCTCAGCAACTTGTTTGTGTTTCTGCGGTCGAGGCTATCTCCAGAGCTTCTTTGATGAATCTAGCTGGTGCCCGCTGTTGATACTGGGGTCTTTTTCGTAGAGCCGGTTAGCTACAACCTGCATCGGAATGCCTTGACTGGCAACTAGAACCTGTAGCGCTGCAGTTAATATCTCGACCTCTGTTCATGTATGATAGGTCTAGTCGACAGAAGGCGATGAAGACGGGGGAAGCAACCCGGTCTTGTTCAACGTGATGTCTCCGGGGTCGGTTCTCTCAGCTGTAGTCTGGATGTCTGTACGTGTACGACGTTGAAGAGGTGGTGGCGTTGAGCAACCCCGCAACCCGTTTCAGGCGACTGGTGTAGGAAGCTACACTATTGCGCATGGATATGATACCGCCAACCATTGATCTCCATGGCATTGCTCGATCGTTTTGTTGTGTTGATCGGAGATCAATGGTTCCCTATTGTTTTTCTTTTCAGGACGCCCGATTACTGGCGATTCGGCGACCATGCCCAGCCGCCAGATGCGCAATAAGAGACAAAATTGGGTTATTTGCAGCATCAAGCATGACCTGACTGCCTTGACTGCTCTAGGACCGGCCGGCTGCCACGACTTCAAGTCGCACGGTAGAGAGAGTCTTGTGCAAGGCGCCATGTGTACCATCGTGTGTGCGGGTGTCCATGCGTGCCATCTGCCAGCTGCCTGACCACAGTAGGTGACCTGACTTTTTCCCACAGAACTGGTCGCCTTGGGTCCCCTACTCCCCCTTCTGGGATTGAGGTCCGGACCCGAGATGGGAAACGCGAGTTAAGCATGGTGTTTCTGGTGGTAAATGTCAGCGATGCCCCTGAGATTCCGATTTGGGGTTTTGCGGCCTTGCTCTCTGCCAGGGAGGGGCAGTCGAGATATGTGTGGTCGTCGAGACAAGAACATGTCCAATGTCGAGACTTTGTGTTCCGTTCGTGCCGTCGCGTTTCCTTTCTATTTCTTTCCAAACTCCTACGATCAGACCGCTTCAACTGAAGAATTCCAGGCACGTCCTTGGTTCCCGGGCGGAAGCTCCCCGTCCCGGCAGCTGTTGCCGGTCTGTGTGCTCGCCGTCCCTCCGTCTTCGTCAGAACGGGACCACGAGATGGGACGAGTCAGGCTCAAGGTTGACAGCTGGCGTGTGAAAGTGTTGCCGCTCATACTGTCCCAGGTACCGCCTGTGCACCACCAAAGGACAGGCCATTCAGGGTAGCTGCCAGTGCCAGGCTGCTGTAGCCCTTGATACCACCTGCACGGCACTGGGTTTCGGAGTCCGGACGGTGGGCGCCGAGTGGCTGGAAAAAACGGTTGACTGAATGATTGTAAGAAATCAACCCAAGAAATGCTCAAGGGGTCTGCTGTAGACGCAAAGCACAGACCATCCCCTCAGGTCCCCAAGGGCCAAGCATCAGCACCAAGAAGCACCCAAGACGAGTTGCCGTGCAGGAAGCGCAGGGCAGCGCTGATCCCTCCCTTACTGGGCGGCTCGGCCGGCAAACCCCACCAGCCTACCCCCATCCCGTCTCTGCGTGCCTCTTGTCGGGCTGTTGCGCTGTGCAGTGATGCGAACTGTAAAGAGCCAAAGAGGAAGAAGAGATTGGACGGACTGTGAGTGAGCACTGGAGAGGCTTCTCTTTGACTTTTTGACCTTTGGTGTTTTGCCTTGCCCACCAGCAGTCTGCTCTCCTCTCCAACAACACAACAGACCACATTCAAACCTTGATCGTTCTGTCCGTCCTCCACTTGTGGCCCGCGCGCCGCCATTATCCTTGTTGGCCAGCCTGGGCCCTGTCTCTTTCTCGTCCCATCCGTTTTCCCCTTCTCAGAATTTCCCCATCTCTCAACGCAGCCTTTCCGCACTTACCTGGACGCTCCGTCCACAGCACACTGTGCCAAAGTCTCTGTCCAAACCTCGACCTCCCTAAGAGCCTACGCATTCAACAACTCCCATCTACCAAAAAGTGAAAAAAGAGAAACCGACCCCAGAACCTGAAGGGAGAGTGACGAAATACCTACCTAGGCACAACAGTTTGAAAACCAAAATTGAACAAGAACAGAAAGCCATCTCCACTACCTAAGAACTTAAACGGACCACACACGAGCCAATCCAGCCATTCAACGCTCAGCGCCCGCCCCCGGCCCGGTCCCACGGCACTAACAAAAACGGCACTGTGCTGCTCTAGAGTGTAGCGCTCCGACTCTGCACTTTGCACCAGACTCGCTCAAACAGCCAGACGGGACCGCAGTGCCCTGCCCTGCTGCGGCCCCGACGAGTCTGTTTTCCAGTCCCCCGTTCCAGTCCCCGTTCCAGTCCCGTCCATCCAGGAGCCAGTGATCTGATCGTATCCGACCCATTCTCTCCAGTCTCGCCCAAGCCAGCCAGTCGAGAGCCACATCCCAAGTCCAGGCACCGCTCGATATCTCTCCTCTTTCTCCGCCTCACTCTCTCAACCTGGCCACAAGTGCCCACCACCACCGGGCCACCACCACTCACCACCAACACGGGCTCGTTCAACCAGCATCCCAGATCAGCACAAACCACCCCGAGGAGCCAGGGCCCAGCAGCAGCAGTTGAAGTTCCCAGCAGTTCCAGTCCGCATTCCGCAGTTGTCCCCAGGTCAACAGCGACCACAGACTGAAGCCTAAAGGGAAAACAGTCACAACCTCCGCTGCCGCTGTCGCTCCGAGTCCCCAGTCCCAGGCGCTACCTAGCCACGGAGAAAAACGACCAAAAGAGGCAAACAAAATCTCCTACTACTAGCACCGAGGCGCACCATCGAGCCTCCTCCGAGCCTGAAGCCTCAGCTCCTCTCTCCTTTCGCCGCGATACAATCCTTTTGAAAAACACCATTCCCACCCATCGCGGGACCCGGCCATCTACAAACAGTGAGCCCACCCCCAACAGCACTGTCCTTTCATCTGAAACCTCAACTTCCCCAAATCCTAAAAAAAGTACCTACGCACGCGCTGCATTATTCACGTTGCTGACGATCCCCTGCTTTCAAGACCACAACCCGACGCTTTGCATTGCAGTCCGCAACACCACATCAACCTACCCAACAACCAGCCACAAACCACCAGAGACCAGAGGTCGAACCCACGCCGCTCCCTCTCCTCTCGAGTCCATCTCCCATCTCGATTCAATTGAACGCGCCTTATCAGTACACCCGCAAACGCCCATGAAGTCGCAAGAGTCGATTGTTTCCCATTAGCATCCGCGCCTTGCCCGACTGCCGTTTCCTGCTTTTATTTCGTCCAAAGGCTCACGGCGCCAACAGGCCGTAGCCCAATATCATGACTGACGGCCCAACTCTCGCAGCTATTGCTGCTCTCGTCAAATCCTTAGCCGTCGACCCGGCTACTACCCAGACTTCTGGACTTCGCCCGAGCACCCATGTCAGGCTTCCCGGCCCCTATACCCGTGAGAAGGGTGACTTGGAGCGAGAGCTCTCCGCTCTTGTTGTCCGTATAGAGCTGCTGGAGACTGCCGCTATCGCTGCCTCTCCTCCAGTTATGCCCGATACGCCAAATGCGACACCCGATGCGCTGTTTTCAGAGTCCGCCCTTTCGCCATCTTCCGAAACGCCTGATCCTCGCTACCCCGCTCCGCTACCGCGGAATGGCTTCATCGACGAGGCCCTGGAGGGTCTCCGCGAACATGTCGACGACCAGTCCAAGCTGCTTGACAGCCAGCGTCAGGAGCTCGCCGGTGTCAACGCACAGCTGATTGAGCAAAAGCAACTTCAGGAAAAGGCTCTTGCCATCATCGAACAGGAACGCGTTGCTACCCTCGAGCGGGAACTCTGGAAGCACCAAAAGGCCAATGAGGCCTTCCAAAAGGCTCTCCGAGAAATCGGTGAGATTGTCACTGCCGTTGCCAGGGGTGACTTGTCCAAGAAGGTCCGCATGAACTCGGTGGAAATGGACCCGGAAATCACCACTTTCAAGCGCACAATAAATACAATGATGGACCAGTTGCAAGTCTTCTCCTCCGAAGTCTCGCGTGTCGCTCGTGAAGTCGGAACCGAGGGCATTCTCGGTGGTCAGGCTCAGATCGAAGGCGTTGACGGCACCTGGAAGGAACTTACAGACAACGGTACGTTTCATCCCATCTTGGCAACCGCAATGGCCCATTTACTGACCATCATCTAGTCAACGTTATGGCCCAGAATCTTACCGATCAAGTGCGAGAGATCGCTTCCGTAACGACTGCTGTCGCCCATGGCGATCTTACCAAGAAGATTGAGCGCCCCGCCAAGGGCGAAATACTTCAACTCCAACAAACCATCAATACAATGGTGGATCAGCTACGGACTTTTGCCTCTGAAGTTACACGTGTCGCCAGAGATGTCGGTACCGAGGGTATCCTCGGTGGTCAAGCCGACGTTGAAGGAGTCCAGGGCATGTGGAACGAACTAACGGTTAATGTGAACGCCATGGCCAACAATCTAACAACCCAAGTCAGAGATATCATCAAGGTTACTACCGCTGTCGCCAAGGGTGACCTCACACAAAAAGTACAAGCTGAATGCCGCGGTGAGATTTTCGAACTGAAGAAGACTATCAACTCTATGGTGGACCAACTACAACAATTTGCTCGCGAAGTTACAAAGATCGCCAGGGAGGTCGGAACCGAAGGAAGGCTCGGTGGCCAGGCCACCGTTCACGATGTCCAGGGTACTTGGAGAGACCTCACCGAAAACGTCAACGGCATGGCCATGAATTTGACCACGCAGGTGCGAGAAATTGCAAAAGTTACTACAGCCGTCGCCAAGGGTGATTTGACCAAGAAGATTGGGGTCGAGGTTCAGGGTGAGATTCTGGATTTGAAGAACACCATTAACACCATGGTTGACCGTCTCGGTACTTTTGCTTTCGAGGTCAGCAAGGTCGCCAGGGAAGTCGGCACCGATGGCACCCTGGGTGGTCAGGCTCAGGTTGACAATGTGGAGGGGAAGTGGAAGGACCTCACGGAAAACGTCAATACCATGGCCAGCAACCTTACATCTCAGGTAAGCTCCTATCGTCTTTTACAGGATGTGCTGTATGCTAACTTTTTCAACAGGTCCGTGGGATCTCTACCGTCACACAAGCCATTGCCAATGGTGATATGAGCCGCAAGATCGAGGTTGAAGCCAAGGGAGAGATACTCATACTCAAGGAGACTATCAACAACATGGTTGACCGGCTTTCCATTTTCTGTAACGAGGTGCAGAGAGTCGCAAAGGATGTCGGTGTGGACGGTATCATGGGAGGACAAGCCGACGTTGCTGGCCTGAAGGGCAGGTGGAAAGAGATTACCACCGATGTCAACACAATGGCGAACAACTTGGTAAGTGTTCCCACCAGCACTTTTAAAACGGGGCCTTTTGCTAACCCCGTTTACAGACGGCCCAAGTGAGAGCTTTCGGCGACATTACAAACGCAGCAACAGACGGGGACTTTACAAAACTCGTCGAGGTAGAAGCCTCAGGCGAGATGGACGAACTCAAAAAGAAGATCAACCAGATGGTCTACAATTTGAGGGACAGTATCCAACGTAATACCCAAGCCAGGGAAGCCGCCGAACTGGCCAATAAGACTAAGTCCGAGTTTTTGGCGAACATGTCCCACGAAATTCGAACACCCATGAACGGCATCATCGGCATGACACAGCTCACTCTCGATACTGATCTGACGCAGTATCAGAGAGAAATGCTCAACATAGTCAACTCCCTGGCCAACAGCTTACTGACCATTATCGACGACATTTTGGATCTGTCCAAGATCGAAGCTAGGCGTATGGTCATCGAAGAGATTCCTTATACGTTACGTGGCACCGTCTTCAACGCGCTCAAAACTCTCGCAGTCAAAGCAAACGAGAAGTTCTTGGATCTCACATATCGGGTCGACAGCTCCGTACCCGACCACGTTGTCGGTGATTCCTTCAGATTGCGCCAGATTATTCTTAACCTCGTTGGCAACGCTATCAAGTTCACCGAGCATGGTGAAGTCAGCCTTACCATCCAGAAGGCCTCCTCAGTACAGTGCGGTAATGATGAGTACGCTATCGAGTTTGTCGTTTCCGATACTGGTATCGGTATTCCGTCGGACAAGCTCGATCTTATCTTCGACACTTTCCAGCAGGCCGATGGTTCAATGACCCGCAAGTTCGGCGGTACTGGTCTCGGTCTCTCCATCTCGAAGCGTCTCGTCAACCTCATGGGTGGTGACGTGTGGGTGAAGAGTGAATATGGTAAGGGTAGCAAGTTCTACTTCACTTGCGTGGTCCGCTTGGCCAACGACGATATCGCCTTGATCGCCAAGCAGCTCAACCCTTACAAGGGTCACCAGGTCCTGTTCATTGACAAGGGCCGCACTGGACATGGTCCTGAGATCGCCAAGATGCTTCACGGCTTGAGTCTCGTCCCCATCGTCGTCGATTCGGAGAGGAGTCCTGCGCTCGAGAAGGCCAAATCTGCCGGCCAGTCGCCCTACGACGTGATTATTGTGGACTCGATTGAGGATGCTAGGCGCTTGCGGTCTGTTGATGACTTTAAGTACCTTCCGATCGTCTTGCTAGCACCTGTCGTTCACGTCTCGCTGAAGTCTTGCCTTGACTTGGGTATCACGTCCTACATGACGACCCCTTGTCAACTCATCGACCTCGGCAACGGCATGGTTCCTGCTCTTGAGAACAGGGCCACGCCGTCGCTGGCAGACAACACCAGGTCTTTCGAAATCTTGCTTGCCGAAGACAACACTGTCAACCAGAGGCTAGCAGTCAAGATCCTGGAGAAGTACCACCACGTCGTCACCGTGGTTGGAAACGGTGAGGAGGCTGTCGAGGCCGTCAAGAGGAAGAAGTTCGATGTCATTCTTATGGACGTCCAGATGCCTATTATGGTAAGTCAAAGCCGACTTTATGAAATAAGAACCTGATGCTAACAGTTTCATAGGGCGGTTTCGAAGCCACGGCCAAGATTCGCGAGTACGAGCGCAGCCTCGGCAGCCAGCGCACACCCATCATTGCCCTCACGGCCCACGCCATGATGGGTGACAGAGAGAAGTGTATCCAGGCACAGATGGACGAGTATCTCTCCAAGCCGCTGCAGCAGAATCATCTAATCCAGACCATTCTCAAGTGCGCGACACTTGGCGGACAACTGCTCGAGAAGAACCGAGAGCGCGAGCTCACTCGTGCCGCCGACGCCGTAACTGGCGGCCGCCGCGACAACGGCATGTACTCTGCCAGCCAAGCTGCGCAACACGCTGCGCTCCGCCCACCCCTTGCTACCAGGGCCATCACGGCCGCCGACAGCCTCGTCTCCGGCCTGGAGAGCCCGTCCATCGTGACGGCGGACAAGGAGGATCCTCTGAGCAGGGCATGTGCAAGCCTCTCCGAACCTAACATCCATGCTGCAAGCTAACCGTGTGGATGAGTCGATTTGACTTTCGTTGGAGGAATATAGCTGGTCATACGAGCTCATACTGCCAGTCTTTGATTAACACGTCGCGCGATATCCGTCTTCGTCGTTCAGCAAAGCCAGTCAGGTTTGGTGTCTTTATATATACATTCGACAACGCGATACGTACCAAGCAGTGGCCGCACCGCTTAGGGTGGTAGAAGGGTTTCGCGAGATGGGATGAAAGGAAAAAGAAACAAGGGAGGGGAAGAAAGAAGGGAAAGGATGGAAGTGGATGGAGTCCTGTGTTTGTCATTTTTTTGTGTTTGTGTGTCTCTTGTCCGGTACCCGGGTTCAAATCAGGTTCTTTAAGGTCCAAAGGCGGTTTCTGTTGTTACCAAGGCATTGATTGAAATTATTACTTGCGGCTGGTTTGCTAGTTTTCTTCGAATTTTGTATGTCCTTGTCCGTCGCCGCTCGTGTCGGCTCATCTCTCTCGTCAAAGTATTATTTTACTGGTTCAACTTTCGCTTGCCGCCGCTCCTCGTCTGCTCTTTTTGGCTTTTTGGCTTTTTGGCTTTTTGGCTTTTTGGCTTCTGGCTCTCGTTGTATGGCTTGCTTGGCATTGATGGTTACGTTACTAAGATATGGCTATCGTCCGTGTGTGTCTCCTTGGACCCTTGGACCTGGGGACTTCTGGTTTTGCTACTTAGCTGCGTACGTTTCGTACTCTCCTGACTGGGTTCTCGAGAGAGTGAGTCTTTTTTTAATTACATGATACCTACCTGCATTACCACTCACACTAAAATATGATCTTGCACGTTATGTTATCAAAGTGATACTTTACGATGGTTGATGGTGTGTGTTTACTTTCCTCATGCTGCTGCTGCTGCTACTGCTGCTATGAATAAACACGGAGACTTGATAACAACGGGACCAGTCAGTCAGACTTCCACCACCTACTTTCATTCACTAGTGTAGGTAGGTAGGTAGGTAGGTAGATTGGTAGGTATGTATGTTAGGTCGACCATGAATATACACACACATCCGTCCGCCCGTCCCTTTCGTATTTCCATTTATTCTTCATCGTCCTCAATCCTCCCTTACGACGTAACCTGGTTGTTCCTCTAACCTCCCTTTTTTCTTTTTTTCTTCTAGGTATCCCGCCCTTTCTCAGTGTATATTGGCATATACCACCAACACCATCAGCACCATCACCGGAACACGAGCATAAGAACACGGCAGCGAAAGTATCAAATAAATTCACCGGAACAACAAACTTCCAAGGCCAACATGCAGAACAGAAGCTCGGTTGAGTTACCGAAGTGAGGATGCCTGAGGATAGTACTCGGTGAAGTGAAGTGGAATTGTAGATACTCTAGATTGACTGAACGGCAAGGTAATCTCCCAAAGTAGAAGGCCGTAATCGTCAGGGCCAGAAGCGCTTCAAGGCCAGGCTAGGAAGTACTTGGTGAAATAGCTTTCGGCGATTATTTCCAGATTCCAAACTATGTAAGAATCGACGAAGATAGGTAGGTACCTTACGCAACCTATTAGGTCTACTTACTACCTTGCCTTACTAGTAGAGAGAGGTAGGTAAGACGAAGGGAAGCTAAAGCTCCTTATTAGGTTTCTTAAGAGTTTGAGTTCGAGTTACTACCGATTCTTTCTACTAGGTAGGTTTCCTTTCGCAAGTTCCTTCCCGCCTTACTTACTTAAGATGTTTTCCTAGAGTCTTTCCTCACTTGAGCTTTTTCTCACTTAAAGCTCCTTCCTTCTCAACCTCCATCTTCACTCAGTTTCTTCACTCCCTCCCTTTTTTCACTCCTTCCGTTTTTCTTCCATTGCATCTTCCCCTCCCTTTCTTTCTCTCTTCTTCTCTCCTCTCCTCTCACCAAACAGCTCAACAGCTCAACAGCTCAACAGCTCAGCAGTCAGTCAATCAGTCACCACCTCACCACCTAACCACCTACCTAGCCATGCCACTCACTAGTAGACAGAAAGACCTACCTCTACTAGTAGTGTACTCACGCCACTGCATGAGAAGAAAAGCCAAGCAACGAAGGTCTTCCACAGAAAACCCGGCACGGCATGGTGCAGTGGGTAGAGTATTCAGTTATCCAGAAATAACGGGAAAGTTCAGTTCTCATTCGGCCCAGAGATTATGTGTCATGGCTGGAATCCTGCCGCCGTCGCCCACTATGGGGGCCACTGGAGGAGTAGTGTATATGTGAGGTCAGGTCGTGTTTTCCAAAGTTTCATGCTACTTACTCCACAACATCATGTTTGGGCGTCTGATTGTTCCGTTCTTTCAAGGGATAGGTAGGCAGAGAGAGGTATGTATGGTACATCTTCAGGGCATCATCGCCGCCGATGGGACGGGCATCGTCGATAACCACCATCGCTGATGGTTGACAAGAGGGGGGTAGGGGTTGTTGATATTCGTTTATGGGCTGAACTGCATGGCACTGTTTTCACACTCTTCTCACTAGTTTTCGCTGGCTTCCACTGGTTTGTACTGTACGCGGTCGGTCATGTTTGTGCCATGAAGATTATACTACGGTTCTACCTAGTGAAGATCGTGACGAAGATGATGGTATGGGTCTTCAATTATTAAAGCTGAGTGGATGAGCTGAGCTCAGGTGGCGATGGCAATGACGATGGTGACGATGTTTTCGGGTTGGGTGCGGTGAGGCGAAATGATGACGGGATGTATAGTTGATCTTCCTTGTTCGTAAGGACATAGGTGTGAAAACCAACTTCTTTCAATCAAACGAGTTGAACGTCAACATTTGAGGGACAGGCCCGTGACGTTCGTTGATGTGCAGCATCTCGATGTATGTTACGTACCTTTCTGTTCCGTGATGTCTGATTATTTCGTGGGTTAGGGGTGTAGATATCGCTGCATTACATAAATGGGTGAAACTAACCGTGTAATTCGTCTGCGTTACATGGATGTATTTACGAACTTGGTATGTAACGGCCATTACACCCCGTTATTCAGTAAGTTTGAATTTTCTTACACAGTGTCTCGTAAGGACCGCGTAATATGTATTTACAGTACCGTATGTACAATACAACGAAGATACCGCTTGTGATGTATCCAACGACACCAGGTACGCAAAAAAAGTACTGCCTTGGAAGGTGAAAACTCGGAGCCCCAAAACCAAGGCTCATCATGATATTTAAATAACTCACGTCCGTCCGTCCGTCCGTCCGTCCGTCAGCTAGTCAGCCCTTACGGCGTAGTATTATATGTTGTTTTTAATTTAGCCGTTTTAACCAACTCGGCTTCTGGCTTTTAACCCTTCCCAGCCAGTCCATCCCCGTTTCCCAACTTCCCCCCCTTTAATAATCCCTTCAATGTGTCCGACGATCAACAATCTCGCCTGCTTTCAACAGGGCGCTCATCCCATCGAGGTTGGGGTTCCCTCTCTCTGGCTTTCCTTGTTGTTGTGGTTGTTGTTGGTGGTGATGATGATATTGTTGCTGATGCTGTACCTGACCAGGACCCATTTGAGATGGTTGGTGTGGTTGTGGTGGTGGCGGGATTCCATATACAGCATTAATAGAATGAGAAGTAGCAGCAGTAGAATGAGCACCATTCGTTACAGCAGGGGGCGCGTGCGCAAGTGATAAAGCCCTGTGGTAGCCTACGACGGCTTCGTCAGCGGCGTCTCTAGTTAACGATGGTAGCTTTCTCCATGGCATACCATTCGTCATGCGCAGGCTAGCAAGCGCCGGCGGCTGCTGCTGTTGATGTTGCGGCTGCTTTTGGTGCACAGGCAAGGGACCCGTAGGGTATGCGTGGTGCGGTTGGCCTGCCTCGTTGTAGGAGTGGGAGGAGCTTGACGAGAGCAAAGCCTGTATCGGCAATGGACCGTCAGTAGGAGTCCTTGGATAGCCATAAGACGAGGTCGTGGAGGCCGAGGATATGCTACCCGCTGAGGACTGCTCCTTCTTCAACGCAGGCGGATATCTCCGGTCGCCGCCAACCAAGCCGGGTGGGGGACCAGGGCTGTTGGTGAGGCTGCCCCTTGAGAAATAGCTGCTGGGTTCGTTCGACTGCTGTGACGCGCCGGGCATGAATCTGTGGCTATCAAAAACATCGGAGAAGGATGGTAGATTCTGTTGAGACTGAGGTGTGCTTAGCGGCTGTTCCTGACCATGTTCCTCTGGTCGGGCAGTCTCTGTTCGGTTCGGTAATGGGTGGTTTTTCGCCGAAGTGTTGAAAGCAGTGGGTGATCGTTGTTCTGGAGACTGTCGATCCGCGTGGATCGTACGTGGCGATTGCATGGCATCGTCATGATACGACCTGGGGCTCAGTGCCGCCGAATGATGAGAATCCGTGGTGGAGACAATGGAGCTTATCCTTTGTTCCCTAGATGGTGGTGGTTCGCTTCCGTGAAGGCTGTCACTACCACCACTGCCACTCCGACATGTCCTGGTCGGCGTGGCAGCAGCGCTGCTGGGACCGCCAGATTCCGAGAGCTTCACTCGCTTTGATGACTCCTTGTCTGTGTCATGCGTTAGACTCTGACTGACCCAGTCGAATAGAAGTCATTCGCCAGACAAGGACATGGTATCGTACGTACCTTGAGATGGGAGAGAATGTTTCGCCTTGAAGTCCGCCAAATACTGCATGTACTTTTGGTATTGAGCCGTCTTCTTATACTCGGCAAGTTCAGCGTGATATTTTTCCTTGTAAGCCTGCGCTTTCGACTCATAAGGCTCCTTCTCAGCCGGGGTCAAGTTTTGCCAGTTTTCGCCGACTAACTTGGCAATCTCGGTGAATGAGAGGTTACGGCCCTTGAGGTCCTCACGCATCTCTTGAAAGGGGTAAACGTGTTAGTTGCCTTCCTGACGCGGTTTTGAATGGATGACTTACTGTTGGAAAACAGCACATAGGCTGACGGTGGTCTTTCCGGCGCATTTTCGTCTGCCTTGGGGTGTCTGCGATACTTTCTCTTGGTAACAATGACAGTTCCCGGTTCTCGTAGTTCGAGCTTTGGTGGCTCAGCACGAGGTACAACCTCTGGCGGCCTGGAATCTTCTATGCTAGGCTGTGCCAAGGGAGCCAATGAAACTTCTGGCGCGAGCCCTCGGTAATTTGCTATCCTCCTCTGGAGTTTCTGTTGGTTCGTGTTAGCAGCTGTGCCATATTGTACTACGGATCTTGTAGTACGCGGCAGTAAAAATGATTGCTTACCCGTCTATGACCTAGTTTCACGCCTAGTACATCGCTGGCGGACCAGGTGGGTTAGTTAAACTCCCTACATTCTGTCCGTTAAAAGTCCAAAGCAAATGCTTACAGGTCGGATTCCGTGATGTCGAGAATGGTCTCCCATGTGTCGAAGCCCTGTTCAATAAACGTGTCGAGATACTGACTGATCCCTAACTCCCCGAAGATGGCTGCTAATTGATGAGCCATCGAGTCCAATTGGCGTAATTTGTGCTGCGTCGTGCACCGACGAGTCGAAGTACCCAAAAAAAGTCCCTACACCAAAACTCAACGAGAGCTTCTTCTGAAAAAAAATCAAAAAATCGATGGTATCAATGCCTGGTTGCCGCAAAACCAACTATTCCCAGGTGCACAGGTGAATTTTGGATGATCGGACAAGGTCGTCGTTTGGTTGCCAAGCGACAAGAGATCTGGTGTCAACTGCAGTGTCGAATTCGTGTGAATGAGTCGCTGTGGTGGGTATGGCGTCCGCTCTCGAATCAGAGCAAAACACAAACCGCAATCAAGGCCGTGAAAGGTTGAGACCAGGCTGGGCTTTTTGATCAAGCTTTGGAGAGGGAGAACAAGAGTAATTAATGGCGGTGATGGCGTCCTTGAAGGATCGGAGGTAAATCGTCTTGGTGTGTTGGGCGGAGTATCACAGTCCTCTGATCATGACGAAAGCCAGACAAGGTGCGCTGAGGGGCTGCAAGTAAGGTGCTGAAAAAGGCAGGTTTATCTGTAACAAGAGTCTCGGTCAATGGTAAAGTCCAGACGCGATCCAGATTATGACATGGGAATTCTTGGAGCCATGACCCATTGGGCTGGTGGGGTGAGGGCAGAGATCTCGATGACAACCCCAGCACAGAAGACAGGTAAGGAAGTCTTCGCGTGGTACGACATCGGCACAGGCATGGGTTCGGCTCTGATACAGCTACCGGGCGAGAGGGCAATGGGAGGTACATACTTGTACCAGTCGCCTAAGTACCTAGCGGGGCAGCCACAGGCGAGGAGCAAATGGTGTGAGATGGAGCTTATTCCAGCTCTTTTCAAGCTTTCTCGTGTCGCCGGCGGAGGAGTGAGTGGACGAGTGGACGGTGAAGCTCAGGACTTTGCAGACGGGATTTCGGGCCACAACTTCTGCTGACCTGTGGAGGTTCGCTTGGGGGCTTCTTAAGAATATGGAGCTTCCAGCTGTCTAAAGAGATCTCTATCAGCATGGATCGACGTCGGCGGCAAATCAGTGTAAACGACGAGTGGACAATGGAGTCAACTTTGAACATTGGCAAGCTCCTCGGAGTTTTTGTGGGTGAAGAAGCACGCCAACCACGACCACAACCGCAAAACCGCTTAGACTTCTCTCGACCAGACTTCCTTGCAGGCGTGCAAAGTTCGGGCGGCGCGATGCCACTCGCCCCCAATGCAGAAAAGGATGGCGAGTTGCTCTTTGCGAGTTGCTTTCCGACGTCTCGAGATGATGTGCCTCTCACTTCTTTTCCCCAGAGCCGCCCTGGTCCCGTCTTCCGTTCGGGTAACCAAAACCCCAAGCTCGCAAAAGCCCCTGAGCAGCACCCAACGGGGGAACATCGCCCCCATGCATTACATTGGGGATTATTGGAAATTCCAAAGAGGAAAGAGATCTGCTGTTTGACACTGTGTGCAAATCCAGCGCCAAAGTGGACGGAGAATGCGTATCACAAGATACATGTACCATACGTTGGGCCACCAAGGCTTTTTTCTTCGCCTAGATGAATTTGTCTGTACTGCATCCGGACACAAGGCTCCCTATCCACCGTCCAAGTGGTTGCGTGTGTGTGTTTTGGTTCCTGGCTAGACCGTCGTCACAGTAACGGCGCCCATCTCCATGTTGGTGTGAATATGGATAAAGTCAGGGGTGAGGGGGGGAAGGTTGCCGCCGTACATGGCAGCTACATTCGGAACCGTCTGCGGTATGTAGACGCACAGGGGAAAGGAGTAGGAGCAGGACAGAGTGGTATGTATAACATGACGATGATGTCGTGGTGCATTCCCACCGACTCCGAAACGCAATTGGAGATGGACTTGTTTGTTTCTTGGCTCCGTGAAACCCGCGGGAGTGAACAAGACAAGCGAGGGGGAGGGTGAAAAAGTGCTTAGGTTGAATAGCAAAAGGAAGGGGGGAAGGGGAGAGGTGGGCCGTTGTGGCAGCATCCTACCTGTTCTTGAGTTTTGTTTGGGTTGACGTTTGTGAGATGTCTCTGATCTCTTTCTTGGGTAACCGTGACCGAAACCGTGGATTGTCGTCCGGATGGTTGTTGGCCTATTTATCCCTGAGTGGCAGTCGTGTGGTCGCAAGGTTCAATGTTGTTTGATACCTCGATGTGAGGTGGTAGCAGCAAAGTGCTTTGCTGAGAGCTAAAGTGTGTGGTTGAGTGTGACTGCTGAGGTCAGGTCGGAGGTTCGAGATGGGGGAGGAGGAGGAGCAACTCTCGAAAAGAAAAGTAAGAATATTGATTCACGGGAATCTTGAATTGGCAAGTCCAAGGTTGCAGAGACAAGGTTGACAAGGAAGAGACAAAAGGGCAAAGGCAAGTAGCGAGAGGGTTGGAGGTGCATAAACAGAGTGTTCGAGACTCTTGAAGCTCAGATGCAGATGCCAGGGCGTAGCGGTGGTGCGGCAGGAGCAGGGCAAGGTGGGCGGCCAGGCAGGCAGGGAAAGGGAAGGGAGTGGGATTTTGTACAGGAGTCGATTGACAGGTACCTGGTACCAGCCAGGTACAAGCCTAGGCTGTGTGGGTGGGTTCCCCCATGGTTAAGGGAAATCTGTGCAATCCCCAACCCCGAATATGGAGCACCAGCCGGCGATTCCAAACGACTCTCCTGGGGGAGGATCTGGGACTCCTCCCGCTGCCTCGCGTATAGCGCCGGCCAAATATCGTGATTAAAAGATTGGAATGGAAGACCCTGCTGACCCGGGATGGCATTCGGAGCCAGACACAGGTGGGTAATGTACATGGTACCTGGCTGCTGGGTCGCCCTGGGTCGACTTGTGGAAAAGTCGCAAAACCCTCTCCAGAATCGGGGACTCATTTGGGAAGATGCGAACTCGTGGCGGCTCCGCTTTCCTCGCTCCCGCCCGGTTGCTCAACTCGTGCTCGTGGCGGGTCTGGATCCTTTCCCTTTTCGAGTTGCGAGGGGGGAGGGAACGCGGCAGGTTCGTTCTTTCCTCTCTGTCGAGATCCCACCTGCTTGCTGTTGTATTGTTTCAGTGCATTTGTATCATCGTATGAGTGAGGGGAAATTCCATCTCGACATAATTATCGGATTTGCGAATGTCGATCAACCGTCGGGGTTGCCTCTCAGCTCCCCGTTGCCTGGACCTGGCACACAAGAGTGCACTTGTACCGAGTACCACCCGTTGGACGTCAGGATAGCCGCAAAAGGGATCTCGCTAGGACCTCAAGCTTGGTACGTACTATTGGCTGTTAGTGCGCGCCTGTAGCGGAACCGAGCCTTCAAAAAAGACTGTTGCAACCTTCCCCACAGCCGTCCGACCTTCCCCCACCAGCCCCCTGATGGGGCTCAATTTTTAGTGCTTGCAGTTCAGCTGCTAACGTGCCCTCACGCCTGGGTTCTGCGGGTCTTCTTCACCACATTTCATGCCTTTGAATTCCAGCTGGGTGTTGAAGCGGTGGGAATCATTGAAGGCGTCAAGGGAGTCTCTGTCAAGGCAGTCGCAGGAAAGCCAATATCACGAGGCTGTGGCCGTGTCACGTGTGTCACTAGGGTCATATCGTTCTGCTTTGATGATGGGTTGATGTTCGGCTGGGCGGATGGCATCTCGATGTAGTGTACACAGTATATACGCACCAGGAACTATTCAACGTCCGAACTGCACAAGACGATGCTAGTGAGAGGCGTACCTGAAGGTCAGCAAATGCAGGACAGACCGGAGACGGACATCGTTCCACAGATACTAACCCTCAGGTGAGCGTATAGGTACAATGCAAATGACTCCTATTTGGCGGCCCGGTTTATTTCCCATCGAGCCATCTAAACTTCATCGGCTGGGACGTGCTTTTGTCTTTGTGTGAATTTCATGATGCATTTCATGCTGCTAGTTGATAGTCGTCTAGTGTAGCTTTGTCCTAGGATGACCCGTCGATACAACAGGCGGATATCTCGATCACCATTCGTGGCTTCGTCATTTTAAGCTTGCCGCTACCGAGCTGGGGGGAAGGATCTAAGTAGTCGGTACGGGGACCGCGAGAGACGGTTGGTGACTGGTGAGGGAGACATCGTGGTCCTGAAAACTGGAATTCGATCACGATTCTTCCATCCAGGCCCTGATGGCCGGATGGACAATTCTCCAATATTGGCACTCTTACAAGCCATGGAAATATCGAAATTCCCGTCCCACCATGTCCTGTGAGTCTGTGACTGGCTCAGCCGCCATAAGGGGCATTGTTGGGAAGGGGAGTCGGACAGTCGCCCGGATATCACCCGGACACAGTGAGGTAGGGTTCCCTTTGGCGGTGCCGCGGTCGTGCCCGGACTGCCTGCCGTGCAGTGGGCAGCCGGGGCGGTGGGCAGTGAACCGTGGGCGCCCGAATGAGAAAGCTTTCAAGCCCAGGGCCGTAGGTACCTGGTGTACACTTAGGGTACACGTACAGGAGCCTCCGAGGTGAGCCATCCATGTCGAAGCTTGGAGAGCCAAGATGGGCCCTGTCGGCCAAGGCTGCCCTGACGCGCAAGCCGAGTTCCAATAAGAAACCTCCGGCATTTTTACCGTTCGCCTATGGGATCCAGTCTTTGCAAGGCGTGGATGCCATCATTTCTTGACCCAAAGCTCGGAACGAAATACATGTTGAGGACGGGCAGGTCCTGAATGCAAGACCCGGCAACAGACATCAGAAAATTCAAGATGCGCAAAGCCGAGCAAGGGAAATCTTAGGACGAAAAGGCTGTGATGGGCGGAGTGGGAAAACCCAAGTGGAAAACAATGGCCAAGAAGAGGATCTCGATCGTTATCGAACACCAAAGGTGCACAGGGAAAACGTACGATTATGGTAGCCTCGACGGGGACTAACCGACCAATCAACGGATCCCTATCCACCTCTTCCCCAAAGTGGTCTGAAATTCCGTGGCCTGTACGGGCGACACGGCATCGAATTCCCCGTGACCGGGACTGTTTGAAAGTGCAAGATATCAAAAATGTTCGCTTCGAAGGT